TGATTTTAATTTCTCTCTCTTATTCTCCTTTCGTCGTCCTCATCCCATTTCGACCCCACGTGCTCTCTGTCCTTTAGCAGCAAAAATCAACGGGGGAAAGTAAACGCCGAGCCCCGCACCGTCGCACAAAGATCGACGCAGACACGCACGCGGCTCCTAAAACAGAAACCACGGCAGGCGTGGAAGCACCCGCGCAACCTGCTGCGCAGCGACGTCCAGGAGCATCTTCCGCACCGAACCGCCACCCCGCGCCGCCCGCTTTGCCGCCTTGGCGTGTGCCACCGCCGCCACCGCGCCGTTCTTCCCACCGCCACCACCAGTGCCGCTGCCGCTGCTGCCGTCCATCCGCGGGCGCCTGCTCGGCGGCGGGGGCTCGTACCTGCGCACCTTAACACGCATCGGGGGGGCCTTGGTGGCCTTCACCTCCTCCATCTCAAGCTTCGGCTGCTGCAGCGTGGGAACGAGATCACCAGTCGAGGGGCTCAAGCGCCGTTCCTTCAGGATTGCCTCCACCGTTGTCCGCTCATACTCCGCAAAGATGCGGTCAAAGCGGTCAAGCTCGTCGGCCCACAGCTGTACGGGCGTCGTCTTCTTTAGTGCGTCGAGGCGCTTCTCCGTTTCGGCGATGCGGCGGCTGAGGNTCTCGAGGCTTGTCCTGGTGTAGAACGTGATGGGCTTCCGAAGCACATAGTCGTACGAATCGTCGACGCGGACCATGCCAAGTTTGTGGCAGATCTTCCCCAAGGTCTCGTCGGTGGCGTTAACAAAGTCAATCTTGCCGCTGCGAAAGTGGTGCACGAACTTCAGCGTCGACTTCTCCCGCGCGAGCTCCGCCTCGAGGAGCTGCAGGTTGCGCTGCCGCCGCTTCTTATACAGATCAAGGCGGCGATCGTAGTGCCACTGCAGCACCGGTGCCAGGTCGCCCTCCAGCGGCGAAAGCGTGCCGTTGGGTGAGAAGACAGTGCCGTTGATGTAGATGCGCTGTGTCAGGCCGAGGTCGCTCTCGCACTCGGCGTGTGTCGTCATCACACCGTCGGTAACCTCCAGGTCGATGTCGACGTGGTTGGCGCCAGAGTAGTCAGCGATGCGGTGCACGACGTCCTTTGCAGCGAGGTGCGAGACGTGGTCACGGAAGGCCTCAATGCTGAGGGTCCACGGCAGCTCTGTCACCTGCACGCGGCCACCCTTGAAGTAGTGGTAGCGACCGGCCGCGATGAACTCGCCCCCGGGGCCGCGGCGAATTTCGCCTTGAAAGCCAACAGCCCACGGCACGAGCCGCCGCACAACAGACTTCGCGGACTCGCCGTTGATCATGCTGCGCACCGCCGCTGACACATCGAGCGGGTGGAAGGGCGGGATGTTCGACGCGAAGCCAAAACCAATACCGACACTACCGTTGCACATCAGGAGCGGAATGATGGGGACGTAGTGAGTCGGCTCTACTGTCTGTCCCTCCTCCTCCACATAGTCGAGAATGGGATCGTCCTCGCTTGGGAACAGAACACGCGCAAAGCTCGACAGTTTTGTGAAGATGTAGCGTGGGGCCGCATGGTCGTTACCAACCTGCTGACGCGAACCGAACTGACCCTCCGGCACAAGCAGGTTGATGTTGTTACCACCCGTGAAGTTCTGTGCCATTTTAATCATCGTCTCCTGCAGCGAGACCTCACCATGGTGGAAGGCGGAGATCTCCGAGATGTAGCCAGACAGTTGCGCTACCTTTGCCGCCTCATTGCTAGAGCGCCGCAAAAGTGCCCAAAGAATCTTCCGCTGTGACGGTTTAAGTCCATCAACAGCGTGCGCTAGGGCACGTGCATTGCCAGTGAGAGCGAAGTGCACCATCTCCTTATGCACAAAATCCGGCAGCGTGAGTGTCTTCCTGCTGCGGTCAATATCCACCTCACCAGTGCAAGCGTTTGCCTTGGTCATCCAGTCCTTGCGCCACTCCACTTCCTGTGAGTCAAAGACGCTATCAAGCAGCTTGTGATCATTGCGATCCACCACGAGCCGCATCGTGTGCTTCTCCATGTCACGGAAGTACTCCTTTCCCTCCACCGTAGTGGATGTGCCGAGACCCTTGTAGTACTTTGCCGTGTACGACACATTCGGGTGCGACTTCTGCCACTTGTGAAAATCCTTCAGGCTGAAGAAAGGAATTACCGTCTTGTCGCGCAGCCGCACCTTCACAATGGGGGTGGAGAAGATGGAGATAAACCCCGGCACACGTACCAGCAGTGACGGCCACAAAGCCTCGAATGCGTTGATGACAAGACCTTTAATGTGCGACCCGTCAGCATCTTGGTCGGTCATGACGAGGAGACGCTGGTAGCGCAGCTCCTCCGCATCCTTGTAGACCTTCCCCAGCTCTAGCCCCAGTGCACAAAAGAGATCCTGCAGCTCTTTGCAGTTCTTGAGACGCTTAAGGTTCTTGTTGCGCACATTCAGCAGCTTACCACGGAGCGGAAACACACCAGTGTACCTCTTTTGTTCACTCGATAAGGAGTTCTGCGCGAGTGCCTTGGCGGAGTCACCCTCCGTGATGATGAGTGTGCGAGGATACTTGGGGTCACGGCGCAACGTTGTCGCGTCGACTAATTTTGTGATGGAGGCCAAAAGCGCCTTACTACTCATGCGGCGACCGGCACCCATCTCCTTGTTGAGCTCCAGCTCGAGCTGTCCCGTTAGCGTGTTCACATGTGTCTCGAGGAACGGCATGCGCAAGAGAAATTCTACCAGGTCTTGCCGCGGTACGCGTGGCATTGTCGCCGGCGACACGAGACGTGCCTTGTTCTGCGAGTCAAACTTCGGCTGCACCTGCACGAGAAACACAAGAACGGTAAAGTGCCGCAGCACACGGTTAGTGTCTATGACTTTATTCTCTTTCTTGAGCATCCGCTCAACATTCTCCAGTGTTGACTGAAGTACCTCCACCGCGGCGGTGCAGTGCGTGCCGCCGTTAAACGTCACTACGCCGTTCACAACACCAAACACACGGCGCACACCGGCGGTGAGTGTTGGGACGTACGCGATGGAGCCGTTGCGGCTCTCGTAGACGTACGGCGCCGGCGGCATTTCCCCTCCAGGCGATGGCACACAGTACAGTGATGCGTAGTCCTTGAACGACTTGAAGCCAAAGGAGGTACCGTTGAGGGAGATCTCAAGCATTGGAAACATCGCGGCAAGGTCCATAATGCGTTTGTGCAGCACGCGCTTCATGTCATGCGATATTTTGTTCTCACTGTAGCCGAAGCGCTCGTAGTCTGGGAGGAACTTTACACGTGTGAGGTTCTTTTCCTTCGGGTCGACGCTCGACACGCGTGGGGCGGTCGCCTTGCGCATGTGGTCCTGCCAGCTCATGTGGAACTCCTTCCCCTTTGTGCGGCAGCAGACGGAGAAGCGGTGGGACATGATGTTTGTCAGCTTCGCCCCATAGCCGTGGCGTCCAGCGACGGTGTTTTGCGACTGGTCGTCGTAGTTGGAGCTGGTGAGGAGATGACCGAAGACCATCTCCGGGATGTACAGCTTGTGCTCCTTGCTGCGCACGATGGGGATGCCGGCGCCATCGTTCTCTATGGTGATCTCGCCCGACTCCGTGATGTAGACGCGGATGAACGTCATACGAGCCCCCTTGTTCGAGAGGTTGTCGGATGCATTGAGCAAAATCTCGTCGACGACCTTCAGCAAGCCGTGGTTGAGCTGCACCGTCTCCCATACCATGCGGCCCTTGTTGTGGTCGAAGATGAACATGGGCGTCGCGGTCGTCTCGACGCTGCCAACGTACATCTCGGGCCGCACCAGCACGTGGTCGATGGGCGTGAGCTTCTTGTACTTGGACACCTCAGCCATGGCTGCTGCTCCTCGCGCACACGGGTGTTCTATGCTAACTGCACCAGCAAGAGCAAAACAATAACAACAAGAAAAACAATTTGTACACGTCGACCGTACTGTGGGTTGGGATATACACGCACACACACACATATATATATATATATATATATACATATTTATAGGGATTTTCCTTGCGGTTCAACACGCAGAATAGGAGACGCCTCCTCCCCTCTCTTTCTGTCCGCGGGAGAGGATGCTTGCCTGCGTTCGTCATCGGCAACAGCTAACGTCCTTCCGTGTTCAGCCACACGCTGCGGATACACACACGCAGAGAGGGACATAGACGTAGAGAGATGCAAATAAACAAGCACCAGTTGAAGTAGCGTGCCTTTCTCCCACTATGAGTCGCCATTTCTCAACTAGGCAATATGTAAGGCGGAGCCAATCGGTTTGCAACGCTACCCGCGGGGGCCGCGCACAGTTGGGTGCGGGAGACCTTTCCGCCGCGGCGGACACACTGTCTCATCCTTCCTCTGCGCGCCGCCACACTCCCATGCCCACATCTGTGTCAAGGAGTGCAGATGCGGGATCAAAGGATGAATATATCTCCCATGCTGTCGCCTCTATTACCTCTGTTCTTCCGAAATCAAAGAGGGACAGGAGCCGCATAACCAGACAACTACATACACGATGTTTATTCTTCTCTGCGCTGCCAAATCCATTCAGTGGGCTATCCCCCAATTCAGAGCCGTTGCTTCATCCGCCCACCCCCCAGACCCCGCCGCGTGGCGGGAAGCAGGGGGCACGGGTGCGGCGGCAAAGCCAACACCTCCCCTCGACCCTGCGTGAACGCGTACGATCAGACAGAACGATAATGAGAGAAGCCCTCTTTTATTTCCCCAACCAAAGGAGTCAGACAACATTCGAACACACATTACTCCCACAAGCTCCATTTAACAACAAAACAAAACACACGCAGCATTCAAGCAACAGGTGCCACGCGACACGCAACTCACAAGAAACGAAAAGAACAAAACAAAAAACGACACGGACAAGATAACAGAACATAAAACCAAAGAAAAAAACTACACATACACGTGCACGCATTAGCAGAGCAGAGCAAGGAGCCTTGGCGGCGGCAGTAAAGAGGCAAAAGTTCCAATGGCGACCCACAGCCTCTCCCTCAGCTGCTTCCGTTGCAGCAGACTTCGCCCCCTCACGCGGCACGCATAGTTCGTGCAGAACAGCAGAAGAGCATGAAAAGAAAGAAAGCGGCGAAGACCACTGATCGCAAGCAAGTTTCATTCACCCTCGTTTCCTCTTACATCACGTGCACGAAAAAAAAAAAAAGGGACCTCTTGTATCGCAGAATCATTCGGCATGTTGCAGAACGCTTCTGTTATTCGGGCCTCGCCGCCAATCCTCTTCGTTTCGTGCGTGCGCCTCTTTAGATACCACTGCTGTTGCGGCATGAATGCATCCACCCAATACGAATGCCCCCGCGACACGAGCAGGAGTCCACTAGCCCAGGAGTAACACAGCATAGCAAGAAGGCAATACTGAAAACAAGAACGTCTTGGCGACTTGATTTCCCATGTGTGCGTAGAGGTGCCCACCCACCCCTCCCAACCCTTACAATTACGCAACGAAGGCAGGCAGCCGTCCGCGACTGCGAAAGAAAACGGCCGGTGCAATCACCCTTGCTCCTCCCCCCTCCCCCCAACACACACACCAGCGCTAGCCCGGCAGAACGACATGATTGGGCAACAGGAGAAGGCAGTGTCAAGGCTGCCGGCCGCAGAAGCACGGGGAAGGGATGTCGGCCTGCGTAACCACCGCTGCTGTTCCCAGCAGCACCGAGGATGAATAGCATCCGTGAACGTAATCCAAACACCACACATAGAAGCACGCACACAACCAAAAAAAAAAAGAGCAACAACAATAATAATAAAACAATGGCCTAACAACCAGAATAATGAACCCTCTTCGCCTTCTTTGGCATTCTCACTTGATTCGCACTCTTCCTTCTTTTATTTTTTTCCCCTTGCGTCACTACAGGGCTATCCGTAGTGTGGGGATTTTCGGCGTCCCCTGGCATGATTCTGTCCTCTCCGGTCTCTTATGGTTCAGCAGCAGTGATGGGATGCGGTCGCCGCGGTTCTCCGTGTTCTTCCAGTACAGACGCAGCGCATCATCCCAGTTGCCGAAACGCCGTATGGTCTCCGTGTACATCAACACACCCCACCCCCCCGACTCCACCTTCTGCGGGGGCACACCCGTGTACTCTAGGATAATCTCGCACGCCTCCGCCACCGTAACGTGGTCCGGTACCGTCAAAGCGAAGGGATAAATCAACATGTACGGCTTTACACCACATGATCCGCCCACTAAGTGGCCGCAGCAGCACGCAAGGCGCCACTGTCCCTCCTGGAGCGCCGGAACAGGCACCAGCGAGATAATGAGTGTTTCCTCACTCACCCCCACAAGGAGACGACAGGCACCGTTACCACTATGGCTACCGCCAGCACAACAGCTACTACTACTGTTGCTGCTTCGGGCTGTTGACATGGGAACCTCGATGATCTCTCGGATGGCACCCGCACGCACATCCACCAGCAGTGCCAGATAGTGTGTCTCAATGGTAACCGAAGCCGCGGCATTGCTGCTGCAGCTGCTGTGGTTGATGTCGCTGTCGTTATCGTTGCGGCGTCCGACATCCACACGACGCAGGGCCCGCGCACACCGTTCCAGCGTCCCCCGCACCAGGTCCTCGTACGTAACTTGCCCACACTGCACCAGAATTTCCTCCTTGTAGAGCAGCTTGTTCTTCTTCGTGCGTAGCATCACAATTACACGCTGTTGGGCCTCCACCTCCCGACGCGGCTTCTGCAGCACATTGAAATATATTATCAGGTACCGAAAGGTGCTGGCAAAATGCATGGACACCGACTTGCTGTGCGGTGGCCCCATCTCTGGCCTCAATGGATTTGTCTCCTTTTTGGCGCGGTAGAGCAGAATATAGTTGGGGTCCTCGCCGAAGACGGCGCCAATCGCCTCACACACCTCCTCATAGGACCAGGTCGTGTCTATGGCGCGTTTGAATAACCCAACTACACGGTGGGCACGAATTGGGTTGAAGTCCCCGTCCCAGGCATCAGTGTCTCCGCCAACCTCCGAGGAAACAACCTCAATAGCGGCGGCATCGCCAAACATGTCGCTGTCACACTTGCCACTACAACCCGAAGCAGCAGCGCCACTAGGACAGCCTTCGCAATGGTTGTCATCCTCATGCAAGGCAGCCGGATCCTCAAAGACGATCATGCAAAGTTTCATCATGACCACATTACTTATACTGGCCGAATACCCCTCTGCCCGCAAGAAACGATACAGGAGTGGTACATCCTCTAACTGACCAATCAATACACCGGACCTTTCAATTTGCAGCGATGCAAGCGAATCGTTGTTGTGCAACGCACAACTCGTGGGCCCCTTCTCCTGTAGCATTCGCAGCGGCCCCCTCAAGTTTCCGCTATCCCCCAGTAGCAGGCGCAGCACGTGACCACAGGTCGAAATTGATGTCGACAGTGGCAGCAACGCTGACCCCGCGTACATTATACGACAAGAGTTGACGTTGAAGTATTTAAAGAACACCAGAGCATGTTCGCCGGTGCAGTCCGGCAACACCGCACAACCGCTGTTGTTGCTGCTACTTGTCGGCGGAAGCAGACCCGGCAGTGCGGTGACGGGGGGACTCAGTTGGATATCAACAATCCGTAGTCTTGTCGCCATCTCTGGCACGTCGAGACGACACTCAACGAGACGAAAGGGTCGGTGCTCCGGGTTGACACCAAACGTCAACACGTTACGGTCTTGGGCAAGGCACGACTGCTCGTACTCGAGGGAGTAACCCAACACATCAACAAGGCAAAGACGCAGAGTCCAGTGAGGTTTGCAGTGGCCGTAGCACTCAACAACAACTCTGACACTGTCGAGCCGAACCGGGCTCTGCAGCGGTATGCTGCGGACGCTGAGGGACCGCCCCTCTTCCCTCCCCACACATCCCGTTAAGGACTTTGCGTCCCCGCTGAGGAACGATGACAGTGTGCTTGGCTGCTGCACGTACAAATACACACAACACCTCATCTCCCCGTCGCTGGCGAAGCGGTCCAACGTGACTGTTTCTTCCATTTCGTCGCACATCAGGGGCAGCAGCAGCGGGTTGGTGGACAACGCGTTCACGATCTGCCACATTCGGAAGCCGCCGATTTGCAGCTGCAGCGCATCCCCTTGCTTGTGTCTAGCGATCGCCTCACGCAAATCAAGCACTGTGTCTGTCTTCTGCATCCTCAATTCGACGGCAAGTGCCTCGTACACATCCGAGTTATGCGGGAAAGTACACCGTTGAAATTGCCGCACATACTCGTAGATAATATCATCTGTAACGACGTATATATTCAGCCCCCGAGACCGTTTAAGGCTCTCCCACTTGCGGTAGTTTTCTTCAGGCCTCGCAAGTTGATAAGCATTCACGGCGCACTGCGGAACAATGTCCTCCGGCGTGGGCGCAAACACTTTTGGGCAGTCGGCACGCCGCACATAGGACAAGACATACGCAGTGTGCAACTTCGTTGTATTGCCTGAGTGGCTCGTGCCAGGTTGTTGGCCACCATAGTTTTTAGTGACGGCGCGGCACTCATCAACAACGGTAACGCGCTCATCGTCGTATTCGATCCATCGCGCAAAGCATTCCTGCACTGGGTCCCACTCACGTATGTAGCAAACATAATGCCCGCAATTCTCTGAGCCGTGGTGCACAATGACACTCTGTAGTTCATAAATCGCCGACGTGCTGCTGGGGTTCTCAGCCTCGATGCCTTTCTCCAACTCATCCAGCGACAAAACGACCGGAAACACGAAGCGACTGCTGATCTTTTCCATCGCGGGAGTTGGCGTGTCGAAGTTCATCTGGAATCGCTTCAGATGGAAAACTGTAACAGGAGGAAAGCGGCAAAAGCGGTAGCTCTTCTCTGCGTCCTTGTACTGCGGTTCCTTCCCCGGTACCTCAACGCGGTACTTGTCGTCACCAACCAGTTGTTCCTTGGCGGACAGGGAGCGCAGACTCTCCATAAGCGTGGTGTAAGGGACCAGTGGGAGGTGAATGTCGTAGAATGTGTCCCGCTTCGTAGACGTGAAGGCCCCATCGAGTGTTTCCACAACCTGTTCACCGAGACCCTGGAAAAGNTGGCTGATGGTACCCCCAACTGGTGTCCCCTTCATTTCCTCCTCCAGCTTCTCCCGCAGCAGCGTCGCCATCTCCTGAATGTCATGCTGCGCGCCGAGGTCCTCTTCCTCCCAGCCGAATGCAGCAGTAAGGTTGTTGGTGCGTGCCGGTGTGCTGCCCTTTTGCATCTGAAAAAAGAGCTCCTGTAATGCCTTGGTGATTCTGGAGCCAGCTCCGCCTTGCACCACAGGTGTACAGTAGACGGCGTTTCGGAATACGCCAAGGGAAAAGAGGGACTGCAAAAGGGCATTTAGGTAACACGTGCTCCTTTCATTAACGAGACCCACGGAGAGAGGGGCCAAGCCTTTAGCATCAGCGCCACCCGGAGCAGCGACAGAGGAATCAGCTCCTGCTGCTGGATGCGACGGCAACGCCCCCTCGTTTTCTCGGAATTGTGGTCCCTCTATTTGCTCGAGGAAATCGATCCGGGCCTCCGTATCATCAGCTGGTAGAGAGCCGGGGCTTCCGTAGCTTCGTACCTCCTGCGGTAGATCGCCACCCTCGTCTTCCCCCATATTCTCCCACGCTCCAGTGAGGTCCCTCGCATGGAATGGCACCGTGTTGCTACTGGGGGGGACGCACACCGATGAGTCCACGCCGTTCTCACTCTCCCCGTGTCCCGCCGTCGAGGGCGCAGTGCTGGTACCCGGCGCGCTCATCGCGCATCAAACCCCGCCGCCTTTCTTTTCTGAGTTTGTGTGTGTGTAAGTGTGTATGTGTGTGATGACGGTAAAGCTGGCCCCCGTGCCCCCGCCCGTTGTGTCCTAGACTGCTGTTGGAGTTGTCACCACCGTCCGCGGTGGAGAAGCAGCACTGCACACGCAGTCAAGCGCACGCACGACAACGAAACAACAAACAACAGCAATGAAGCCCAACGAACAAGCAAGATGGACAGGGCTCTGCGCTACACGGCCAAGGAGGGAGACATCCAAGAAGAGGAGGCGAGAATAGATAAGGATGAATGAAACATGACGGGGCTAGCGTGGAGACAACCCACAGAAGCCACACAGCCTGGGCAACAAGAGGAGAGCAGAATAAACAGCAATAAAAAGAACTCACACAGAAATAACGAGGGCATCCTGTGCGCCATCCGTCTTGCCGCCACGCATCGATTAGCAAACCTCAGATTCGGCCATCGCAATTTCATCTTAAACACACACACACACACAGAAGCACCCACAGAACGATGCAATATATATATATATATATATATATATATGTGTGTGTGTGTGTGTGTGAGATAGTTAGTTAGTAGCACAGATACACGCTTCCTTAGTGTGTTAGCAACACGCAGCACACGCTGCATTGACCACCTTCCCTCTCTTGCACGTTTCCACACTCTCTCTCTGTCCCGCTTCACCTTTTCTCACCTTCTCTCTCTCTCTCCAGCTTTCTTCGTATCACCCGTCACCGCTCCCATCTCTCTCTCTCACACACACACACTCAGTGGCGCACGCACCCACACGCGCAGCCACGCTGGGGGCGAGAGAGAGAGAGAGCGAGCGAGAGAAATACAAAGGAACGGGAAAGGGGCAAAACGCCCACGCAGATCACGTGGACGGTGCGCGCACCCGCGCGATCTAATGCATCAAACCGATGCGGCCCATGTAGAAGTAGATGAGCACACACACCATCAAGCAAACAGCCCAGTAGAACGCGTAGCCGTACAGCCACTTGAACTCCGGTATGTGCTCAAAGTTCATGCCGTAAACTGCCGCTAGGAATGAGCACGGTGTGAAGAAGACAGAGAACTTCGTCAGCACAGCCATTAACTCATTTGCACGGAATGATTGGAGGGAAATGTGCAGGTTGAGAAGTGTCTTGGCATCGTCGCGCACCTCCAGCGCCCGGTCAATGAGCTCGATGCAGTGCACACACATCTGATTTGCGTGCTCCTTGCTGCACAGTCTTAGTTTGGTGAAGCTCTCTGCGAGAACGGTCCGCGTGATGTTTAGCACACGGTACTGTACATTTGTGCGGCGGTGCAGGTGGTAGAGAAACATATTCATGGGGCCCTTGCCCATCGGCCTGGCATCCTTGCGGTTGAGCAGCTGCAGCAGGAACGGCGAACGCGAGCTGTTTGCGAAGTGTGAGAGAATCTTGCCATCCGAGTACTGCTCTCGCCGATCGTCCTCGCCGCCGTGTTGTTTGCGCGCGCCGCCCAGCCCCGACACGAAGAGCTTGGACTCGCACTGGTCAAGAAGGTTGGCGTGAACGTCAAGGGAGCTCTGAAACGTGTTTACCGCGTCGTGCAGAATCTTCACGAGAAACTCCTGGAATGATATGACATTCCCCTCCATCAGCGACTTCCACTGCTGCCGCATGTTCGCCATACACGCACAGTCCATGCGGTGGATTGTGATGATGAGTTTAAGGTCAAGGTCCACAACGATAATCCAGCGGTTGGTCAGCTCTAACACGCTGTCGTCCTCTAGTGCGATCTGCGGCGTGGCAACGCGCAGGCAAATAAGGAACTGCGTCGGCGTCTCAGGTGCTTCGCATATCTGCGGCAGCACCAGCGAGTGCTCCCGGTCGGTCAGGAACGATTCGCTGATGTTGAAGCGCTTCGTCAGGAAGCGCAGGGCGGCGTTGTACTTGCGCCGCGATGGGTCGCGGCCAATCATGTCGACCCAGTACCAGTTAAGGCACATCTCGAGGTTGGAGTTGGTCGACGTGCTCGACGTCGTCGCGGCGTCTCCGGCCAACAACTTGCGCTCGTCAATGCCGGCGTTGGTGAAGTCCAACTCCGATGAACTCGCCACAGCGCGTGTGGTGGTGCGCTTTTGCAAAAAGTACGGTGAACGAAGCTCGCTCTCCTGCAGCTTTACGGCGTTGAAGTTGTCCGCGCAGGCGCCGCGGCAGTTAAAGTACTCGACATGCACCTCCTGCGAGGGGCGCAGCCACGCCCGCGCACCCGGCCGAGCCCCAGACACGCCGCCCGTCGGTCTCGGCCACGGCGCCTGAAACGTACCGTAGCGTCGCGTCACGCCCGGTGACGACGGCTGAGCCGACTCCAGTGGCGGCGC